CACTATGTTTGAACATTCTTTCATGTTATCATGCAACAAATAAAAATGATAAGTTAATTAATACCCTTTTAATTTATTTATTTTTAAATCTTTTTCATAAGCTTTTTACTTGACAAGCACTTCCACTTTCGTGGCTGTTAATTTCTTTCTGAATTTAAAAAAATAAAAATAAAATTGAACATTTGTGTATATAGGTACACACAGGTCTCCACCAATTAGTATTCATGGCTTCAAATGCAAAGTATTACTTATTCTCAAGCACTAAATACCAGTGTAAAACAAAAGAACGGGTCATTTGCTTTGTAACCTCATAGAATAAATGTGATCATCCACTGCGACAACAGAAAACCAGAAATAACGCTCAACCGTATTTCCTACAAATCCATTCCTCCTATAAATAGGATATTTCATTGTATTCAAACATCCGTGACACATCAGAAAAGGAGAACAAACAATAAAGAAAAAAAAGACACAAAAAGGGAAAATGGCAAAAGCTATTGTTCTCCTCTCTGCCCTTTGTTTTTTGGCCATTGCCAATTTCGCCGTCGCCGAGCCCGAAGTCTTTGATGTTGAAGGCAGAGTCTTCTGTGACACATGCCGTCTTGGTTTCGCCACCTCCCTTAGCGAGGTTATTCAAGGTATGAACAATAATAATAAGTGTTCCTTAACCCCTTTTATTTTTCTTAAAGAGAACATAATCATTGGCGCGATAACAGGTTGTCGTCACGTAATCAGAAGGTCTCCGGTACAAGTTATAGAAATAACCTCTTACAAAAAAACACAAAATTGCATACAATATTTGGTGCTACTTTTTTCTTGGATCTCGTGCATAAGGAAAGTTTAATGCATTGAACAGGGGCTAAGCTACCTTGCGTGATTGGGGTACAATTGAACCCCTTTGTTGTAAATTTATACCCGTACAAAATAGAATACTAGTGTAGGCGAAAGACGATTCAAAAATTACTTTAGATTGTAGATTTTGAAACCTAAAGGTGACATTGTTATATTTTTTGGAATCCCTTTACTAGAAATTTGACTTTGCCACTAACACTAGGATACCCTTTTTATTTTCCTTAAAGAAAATCACTTTTGTTTTTGGTTGCAGGTGCGACCGTGGGATTGACATGCAGAGACATAGAGACACACAATGAAACATACTCAACAGAGGGCAAAACCGACATGATTGGCAAATATACACTCACAGTAGAAGGTGATCATGAGAATGACATTTGCGAAGTAACAGTGGTGAATAGCCCAAGAGAGGATTGCAAGGAAATTGTTAGTGAGTTGGTTAAGGGAAGAGTTGTGTGCAGTAAAAATGTTGGAATGCACAATGCTGTTCGATTTACTAACCCACTTTTCTTCCAAAAGGACAAGCCTGTACCTGGCTGCAAAGAGCTCGTTGAGGAGATGGAGCTTGTTGATCTCTTATTACTCGATGATTGAAAAAAATTAAACTTTAAGAGAGAATAGCTTTTGCCCCTTTCGTCATTCATTTCGCAATAAGAAAAAAATAACAATAAATTGAAATAGTGGCTTCTCCTGAATGTGTACTCCCATGGAAAAAGAAAAGAAACATTTTTTCCATGCATGTCAAATGAGAAGATCGATGATCATGTGGTAGCTTCTTAGAAAATTTTGTGTTCCATAATTTGGAGTTTCAAGTTGATCATAATTTTGTGTCATGATCCTTTCTTTTGGCAATACTTACTTCTCCTTCCGTCTCAATTTATGTGAAGATGTTCGGATTTTGAGAGCCAAACAAATTGTTCTTTAATTTGATTGTATTTTTTTATATGCCTTTTAAATATTTTAATTCATTAATTATTGTGACTTAGTACTTTTACGTAATTTCTAAATATATAAATTTTATTTCGAAAAATTTAAAGATTCTATGTTCAAGTATCCGATCAAAATTAAGAACCTTGAATCTCGGAAAGCAAAAAGCGAATTTATCCTTTCCACGTACAAATGCAGTTTTCTATAACTTTCTTCTTCAATTGGATCCTTGTGTCAATAAATTATCTCATTCATTTGGACTAGCAAGAAGTTGTTCAAACAAATTAAAAGAATTATATATATTGAGAAATAGATAAATAACTCCGGACTAATTTGTTTAAAAATTAAAATTGCAATATTAGAATAGCAAATAATGAAAATTCGAAACTACGACCTCGCTTTGGCATTAAAGCCAGCATGATCATGATCGCTTAAACTGATAAGTCTAAAAGCTTGTCAAGGACATTTATATTTTTATGTGTTTGAGTTGCATCTAATTAATTAATTTTAAAAACTGTTTTAGTATAGTTAATAATTAAATGTTTAAATGAGATGATGAGTGTCTTCATCGAAAGGATGTATCCTTTTGCTATAGTTTGCAGTTACTTTATTTGTATGCATTTAATTTGCTTAGTGTAGAAATTTTAAGACTTGTCATATACATTAAAGCTATGTCTTGTTTTATGTCTTCATCTGCTGTGTTCTTGATTTAGTTCATGTTCTTTCTTAACTAAATGTTGACGCCACTTATAAAAGTTTTACGACTGATCTTTCATGAACGTTCAAAATAAGCTTTCTATACGTTGGGATTTCGTTCATTTACATATGTCCCAATGAATCGTCTATCAAATTATGTCAATTGATGTTTGATAACGAAAAGAATGAAAAAACTTTCCTAATACTTGAGAAAAAGATCCACTTTTCATTTAAAAAAGTAGGAGGTGAAAGTATTTTTTTTCTCTGCAGTACCAACCTGCAAAATGTGACAATTATAGAGGAAATGCATATCGTCCATGTCCGTTTTGCATGCGTTATATACAAATTTATTTGTCCTCATTTCCAAATAGACGAGTTTTTATTTTTATTTTTAATCAAAACGATAGAATATTTTATTCATTGGCCGACAAAGCAAAGGAGGTACCAATTTGAAAATTGATCATTCCAAGAGACTTTATGTACTAAACAAATAAACAAGTTGGTGAAACAAAGTGAAGAATAAAAACAACGTAACAAGTTTATAAAACCAAATAAGAGATGTATTGGAGGTAATGATTACTTATCGAACACTTCACCAAGAGTTTGCTCTTATATGGTAACCTAAATTATTAGCCACAAATAAAAGTTGTCGTTACTTTCTTCCTCTTTCAAGTAAGCATTTGAGATTTTCTTAACCACATGCTTCAAAGAGCTAAGTCCCAATCTAATTGAGTTAGGTCGACTTGAAATATCTCTTTAGTTAGATCATCCTTGAACTCAATAGATATCGACAAATGTTTGCTAGGATAAAGCATAGGCATCAATGTTCTATTAAATGACCACTTCTTCATTTAATCATTCATGTAACATTAGCAAATTCAACTAGTAATATCAAAATTAGAGCGGTCAATATGGGTTGGGCCGGGCTAGTCCAGTTCACGTGAGCTTTAGTAATTGACGGGCTGGGCTGGGCTAGTCCATCATTTTGATGGGCCTTATAATGGTCCGTCCATTCCTATGTGAGATGTGGGCCCCCACGGACCGGTCCATAATTTTTAAAAATGTAATTTTATATTTTTCTTTAAGTTCTGACCTAAAAAAAGATAATTATTTAAAAGTTAAAAAAATATCTTATTGAAAAATTTTCGCAAAACATAATAACTTTTTATAATGTTCCAATATATCACAATAAACACTAAAAAAAGTAAAAGATAAAACTATATTTCATTCACTAAAAGTCAAAACTCAAAATAAACTATTCAAAAGAACGTCCATGACGCTTATGGGATATACAAACACATCTTCTTAATCAAACATATTTGAATCCGCTTGTGACAAGGTTGTCTTAACATCTTCACTTTCATCTACATCTACAATTCATATGCAATATTAATTAGTTAAATATTAAGAATAATTAAATCTTAAAAACTAATAACATTTAAATTCACATAAAAAAATATTATCAGTTTGAGTTTGGGAAAAACTTTGCAGCCAATTTCGAGTAGTAACAAGTGTTTGGACATTTTCATAATAAATGCAACTTCTGTATTTTTGTAAAAACATGCCACCAATGCTAAATATTGATTCTGATGCTACAATGGTAATAGGAATACTAAGTAGATCACGCACCATCACTCAAAGATCGGGATATTTTCTAGAATGGTCCTTCCAATACATGACAACATCTATCTCTTGAAACTTCTCAAGATCAAGTTTTGGTTCCTCTAAGTAAAGATCCAATTCTCACTTTTCATCTCTAGAGGCAGTATACTTTTAATTTTTTTATATATTTTAAATAAAATATTTTATTAGGCCCACGGGCCGGCCCAGCCCAACCTAAATCAAGCCTCACGGGTCACAGACTTACTCGGGCTGGGCTTAAAAATCTCATTTTTAAATGGGCTCCAAAAATTCTAGCCCAACCTTGCCAAATCACGGGCTAAGTTGGGCTGGCCCAACGGGCCAAACCCATATTGACGACACTAATCAAAAATGTTGTTGAGTTGAAAATTAGTTACTAAAATACCACCTGAAAAATAAATAAGTTACATTTAAGCTGTTTGAATTGGATATTTTGATCACTTAATAAAATAAGTAACAAATATCAGATTTATTATGCCTATAAATTTAACTATCGGATTCAAGAAAATCAAAACCAAGTAAGAGCTCCAACATGCTAAAATATACATCTCGTTTATATTATTATTACTCCTCCCTCTGTCATAATTGACGGTATTTGACTTGATATAAAATTTTAGAAAAAATATTAGATTTTTAAAATTTGTGATCTAAAATAAAATATAAATATTTATGTGGTAAATTAATTCATTGAAGATAAAGTGAAAATACTAAAAATAAATTATTTTAAAATAATAAAATGTGACATTAAGCAAAGAATGTCATATATATAAATTACGAGTATTATTTAAAAAGTCAAATAAAAACTCTTCGAGTATTGGCACCCGTACACCACTACTAGGTAGAAACATAAAAAAGCCCCTATAAGAATCTCAACTGAACCATTGTAGCACATGTATTTTAGTGAGAAAGAGTTGTCAAATTCTTAAACTATCTCCACTCAATTCTCCATTTCTCTCTCTAGAAAAAAGAAGAACCCTTAGCGTAAACTCTCTGCGACCGAAGAACCGCACTCCGGCAGCCTTCAATTCAATTCCAATGGCGAACAGCAATCTTCCTCGTAGAATTATCAAGGTCCTTTCTTATTCAACCTTGATCTTTCTATTCTTCGCTCGATCCATTAGGGTTTTTGATCTACTGATCGCTTTTATAACTTCGATTTAACTGATAATTTTTGTGCTCTTACTTTCTTATCTTATAGGAAACTCAACGGCTCCTCAGTGAACCTGGTAAATTTTCACGATTTTTTGTTTTATATTGTTCTTTTCCTTTAGTTGTGATGAAATTTTGAGCTCAATATTTAAGTTTGGAATACTCGATGATATGATTTGGATTGTTGATCTCAGTATGTACGAATTTTTCTTATTGAAGCAGCAAGTTTTAGTATTGATATATTTAAGCTATGTTACTAATTAAAAATAAGAGAGAGATTTACTGTCATTTCACTTTGAGTGCAGCACCAGGAATAAGTGCATCTCCATCGGAAGATAATATGCGATACTTTAATGTCATGATTCTTGGTCCTACACAGTCTCCTTATGAAGGTAATGAGCTCAATTTTAAGATTTTACTGCAACCGGTTAAATATGCTTAGGTCATTTACTTGTTTGTGTTGAGTGTCAGATATATGTTTAAATTGAATCTTCGTGGTGAATTGGTTTTCTTCACTGATGTACTGTCTAGCCAAGGTCTGTAGTTGTTGCTAGTTTTTTCCGGTTTCATACTTGAGCTTTAACTGGCCTAAACTGAACCCTGTCCCCTCCAATTTGTTCCATATTGTCCTCTAAAATCTTGGGCATTTATCTTCCTTTTCATTTGCTGTGTGCTATACGGACCAAACATGAAAAATAACTAAGATCACTGCACTAATTAATCCTGGAGAATGTAAAGTTAACTTGACTAGTTGATAACACTGACTGTGAGATGTGTGGCTGCGTTTGGCAAATTGATATAGTTCATTGTCTAACATGTCGCAACTCCCAGTAATTTGTTATGAACTGTCTTATTTCTCTGGAGTATAGCAGAAAGCTAGCTGTCCTTAGTATAAAATATTGAATGTTGGTGTGAAGTACAAACATGTTGCTCGTGGTTAGTATTAGTTAAGACACCCATCAACCACCTTGTTCTGTTTTCTTGATATGTTTGTATGCGACATTCTTCTCTTTTAACTCGTCCAGTTTATGCCCCCAGGGCCTAGCTCAAGTGGCAAAGGGTGGTGGATTTGTGTCTTAGGTCACAGGTTCAAGCCCCCACACCATGCAAAGCAAAGCCTGGTATTTAAGTGGAGAAGGGTAGAGGGGCGGGCCCATTATCCACCGAGTTTCGAAGGCTGCGGTTGGTCCAAAGGATCGGCCCCAGACGGATTTCTCGGTCATCCAAAAAAAACAAAAAAACATGACACACGTGCGAATAATCGAATCTTTGGGTTTATCACATCGGAGTTGAA